TGCCGGTATCCTGAGGTGGTCTTCAGGATGGTTGCCTCCAACACCTACAGTATTGACTAGGCCGAATCTCCTATAATCATCAACCTCCAATCCAAACAAATCAAACCCCCCGTCGTCCGGACATCCCGGAAAAAGAATTGAACCAGGCCAGACTGTGCTTAGTGAGAAAAAGCGGGGGGGAGCAAAACAATGCCCAAAATGTCCAACCCCAAGCTATGCATGGAACCGCGGAAAAAAGAACATGCTGCCTCCTGGGCCACCTCACACAATGGTGAGGCTCCCAAGTAAGGCGCCACTGGAGGCGGTGGTGTATTGCAAGCCGACCGCTTGGAGCATGAAGGCCAAGAAGAGCCAAACCTCGGGCGACCCGTCGCAGGGAACACCCAGCGAAAAGGAGGACGTGCTTTTTCTTTCAGCCCGCCCTGCCCTCCTAAAACAAAGAGACAAGTAGGCGCCTGCTTAATGAGACTTGCTTCATGAAGTAGGCGACTACTTAATTAAGGGAGTTCGCTCCTAGCTAGGACGTAGGATAGCTCACGCTCGCACTAATGATTTGGTTCCTAGATGTTTAGGGAAACTTAACTTGATCGAGATGACTCTATGTGCTTGAAGCGTCTAGGTGGTCGTTTCATGTCTTGAACATTTCAAGAAATATGTGTTCCCGGTGGGTACCTTCAAAATGTTGAAGGAATTCAAGAGTCATTTCCAGTGCCAGTTCCCTCCACCCGCTCATGCAAAGCCGCTGCCAACTCTGCACCGCAAGCAAGGATGCATCCTGGCTCTTGAGTTGCTGGAAAGCAGGGGCTTGACCAAGGCTCCCGTTGTGTTCAGGGGATACCCTCGCAGCACCCTGCTTGAATCCTGGCTGTATACCACTAGTCACTAGACCTACTGACCATGATTCCTTGAATTTGGCCTTGTCTTTGTTTCTTCGAGCACCACAAGCCCGCAGGCCAAACCCACGTTCCAGCTCAGCCCAGAGGAAAGCACCCGTTCCGCATGACCGACGCTTACAACAACAGCATGACCGACGCATCAATTTCTGGGTTTCCTAAAGGTTCATCAAGCGTGACCGACGCAGCGAACCTCCTTCTACTGGAAGACGTGCAGTGTAGGATAGAAGTTGTAGTTGTCACTGCTGAAGAGTATTGGTATGTGAACGTGAATTCAGGATAATTAAGGGTGCAAAACGGTGCATCTTCGTCCCTTCCTCCGCTGTCTTCGGGTCAACAAGAGCCCCTTCTTCATCAGCATCTCACAAAACCTACAAACAAAATGATTTGTTCAATTTGTGGAATCTGCAAATCCACATGCCAAAAAAACACGTCCATTGTCTGCTTCATAGTGCCAGCATGCCCTCAACATGTTTCAACTGTCCTCGTTCGCCCGGAGGTCCCCGGATCGCCGGTCCTTCGTTCTGGGCGTTCGTGGACGCGACGCCCCGCGGCCGTTGGGACATGGCCACGAAGAACATGGCGATCGCCGCGATGCCGAAGCGCAAGGACATGCACCTGGTTGCGGCTGAATGACCCTCACCATCCACCATCCATCACCTGATTCTTTCTTCTATTTAATATATATATATATATATGTATAAACATAAATAAACGATCTCCTCTTTTTTGAGAACGGCAATCACCAGACATACCGGCAAGAGCTGGCTTCTTCACCCCATCTGGGCGATGCTGGACATTATGGAACACCGACATCCTCGAATCCGAGAGCAGCCCTCCTGTCTTCCTCTGATATTTCCTGGGCGTCTCCTTTCGATATTGGATTGCCCTCATTGGAGACGCTCATGGATTCACCGGGAGATCGAATTCCTGGATTCGTGTACCGTGTAAAAGTAAATAACGGATATAGTTCATCGCAGCCTTAAAGACTTATGGGTTCTATGCGTGTTTGGATAATATGGCCTTTGCAATGTTTCTCGACAGCTTCAAGTGATCCGCCTGTGCTGTTGCAAAGCCCCAAGGTGTGAGGGTTGCGCCCAAAATCACGGCAACTGGGGATGAAGCTGATGATAGCACGTTGTTCGTTGTTCTATCACAAACAACTGTGAGATCTTCGAGCAAAAACCCAGTCCATGGCATCGGGTCTTGGGTTTTCAGCTGCCCCTGACTACTTGCAGGACTTTGATCTTTGATCTATGTATATATATATATATATACATGTTACAAATTTATGATTACATCCACGCAAAACCGCATGTACCTGTGCATAAAAACGCATTATCCGCATGCCGCATGTATCCGTGCATGTATCCGTGGGGTGTGGGCCGGGCCGGAGATGAGCGCCATGAACCGCTGGTGTGAAGGAGTTGATCCTCTTGGCTTCGACGATTGGAACTTGGGGATGCCACCACTAGTACTAGAGGTCATCCAATACGAACATCAGGCAAAGAACAAGAAGCTATCCATCGCGCCAGTGTTTGCATCTTCGGTTTCCAGTGTCTTGATGAGGACCTGATTGCCTGGGCGCAAATGGTGAAACAAAGACCGAACCCGTGACAAGATCGGCCCATGCTTCTTTGTGGTTTGCAGTAATTGCTTTCGTGGTCTCAATCTTGAAAAAGAATTGCTATCATCGTTGTCATGGGCCCCTGCTGGGGCCATGGCCGACTAGTGACTAGAAACCCAGGCACGATGAACCTTCCAAATCGTGTTCGCAGGTCTTCCGTGATAGCGACGCACTGAAGCACTTCTGAGACAAACTATATACAGTAATTTATCCCTTCAAAACTGGTGATCTAAGTTCTAAGCAACAAGTTCTCCTTCCAACCCATGGTATCCCCTGATGGTTTGCGCAGTAGTTATGATCAATCGTTATGTGGCCCTTTCACAGGCCGGACGCCAAAAAGGTTGTTTGTCCAAAGGAGAAATGTCTGGCAGCTTCCAAGCCGCTTGACTGAGGAAACCCTTCTTTTTGTCGCACGAAAACTCCACTACGCAAAGTCCAGGGTAGACGTTGCCATACGCCAGGTGGCTGCCAAACAGCATGGTCACCACGTTCAGCAATGCCACCCCGCCTGTCTCCGACCTGCAGAAAGGAAGAGCCCTGCAAAGGCACCATAGGGGCCAAGTGGAAGTCAGAAGCCCAAAGCTCTCCACCACCCATATGTTCAACAACACAAATGCTGCTGTGGATGCAAGTACTGCTGCTGGATTGGAGGATTGGAGGAACATCCCAAAACACCTACAGAAGCTACAAACCCATATATCCGTTTGCAAATCTTCTCTCTCTTCTCGCTTTCTCAAGGAACCAAAACAATCCGGGTCTTGGGATCATCTGTCGCTCAACCGGCGGTGCAATCTCGCAACCTATTCGCTAAAGGCACGGTTTCACATTTCAGTTCAAAGCTACATGTGGGATCATGTGAGTCAACAAAAGTCTTGCCCTTTTAACTGAATACTTGTGGTTGGTCGATTCGTCTTGTAGGCCAGGTATACGGAAGAGGGGATTCCGGGGATTTTTCGGATACTCTGCGGGCAGAAATCTCCTAATAAGCCTGCCGCTCATAAGAAGAGACCATTTTGCCACCATACAGTACCATCTTGATTTGGTGGGTTCGCAAAGCACAAACATGCACTCTTAAAATCTCTTAAAGACACGGAAAAGACTGTGAATGCCACAACCCCAAGTTGTCAAGGCAGAGCGGTTCACCCGTGGCCCGTGACCTGTCTTGACCACTGTCTTTGCTCGGTGTCACCGAGCTCCGAGAGCTTTCTATCCAGGCCTAAGCCACTGCGCATCCCCAGCATTGCGCACGCAGGCCGCGCCGCGCGCGGGCGCGGGCGGTGGCGCGTGGGAGCCGTGGGAGGCGCGTTGAGGAGCTACGAAGCACAAGCCCAGCACCAGCAGCAAAGGCAGCAGCCAAAGCCTTCTTCAGGTGGCAAAGCGCGCCATGGGCTGCAATCTGAGCTGGACGCTTATCAAAAGTTCGCCCGAGAGGACATTGAATCTAACGACCTCTATAATAACTCTATAGCTGTCTTGAGCTTGTATTAATGCTCTATCAAGTTCTTGAACTTTGAACCTATCTTTGTTTCTGGGATGGTGCTGCGCCTTTGGTCTCTCCAGCTTGCCATGGATATCAGTTAAGGGCAGGTCAATCATCAACCATCAATGACTTCCAGCACTAAAAATGGCAAGTCTCATCGAACAAGTCTCATTACCCCGAACCTTTTGCTTCCACCTCCTATCTATGAATTATAAAATTATAGCTGAGCCAGTCCACGGCGCGGGCATCCCAAGAACTGAAAAAAGAAGTGCCAGCTTGGGACCGAAAGTGAACCCTACCTATGGCCACCATGCCGATGATCAAGGCCTTCAAATCAATGGTTGCAGGTCATAAGGTGGGGTGTTTGGCTTGACCACAATGGTGTCCAATACCATTTTGGGTGGGAGTTGCTTGGTCTATATTGCTGTTCTCACTAACAAAATCCATTGTGGCCCATGTTGATGGGCACGGTCCCGCTATTGATATTTACCCTAGATTCGGTGCAGTTGTGAACCTTCGTCGTGATGCGGGCATATCCAATGGAGATCTTCATAGTCCAACGTGAGGTTCTCCGCACAGGTCCAACCGCTAAGAATGATCTGCTGAGCTTTTGAGACAAATCCAAACGATTTTGGAGGTAAACGGCAACCCAGAGGGCCTTGTTCCACTTCCATGTTTGCACCCCAAACAGCAGAGTTGTAGATGGATGTAGATCGCACTTTTGACAGATCGACCAATTTGAATTGACAAGCAACATCTGAACAGCTTGAAAACGATTCCTTGCATTCGTGAGCTCCCAGATCTCAGTCCTAGAAATTAAACTCTGGACTGACTGCTTGCCCGTGTACTAAATACTCATGCGGCATGCGCTTCTCAACCATACTTGAACGCTTTGAACAGCTAGAATAGAGGTGCAGTTTTTGGAGGTGACCCAGCTGTTTCCGCACACCAGAGCCCCATGCTGAACCCGCTTCACCCTGCAACTCAACGCCCAAGCTGCATCTCCATGAACTCCTTCGTCAGCTGCAAAGCTTTGAAGGAAGGCTTCCCAATGGCCGCCTCCAAACACGCCCCCGAGCGGTGTGGTGCTAAAGGTTGTACATTGATCTTGAACATATACAAACTCTTAAGCCTTAAGCCAACAAAAGCACCCACTTATATATATATATCACGTTTCCCACTACTGAACAACAAAACTGCGTCATCAGTATCGGGTTCACCGGTTGATATGAACTTCCCGCGCCTGGAGGGAGTCGTAGACCACCAAAACAGATCGAGGGATCTCTGTCTGGAAGCCATGCCTGTCTCAGAAAAAGAAAACCGAACACCAGTCAACCACATCATCTTCCAGGAGTATCCTCTTTACTCTTTACATTACTGTGATTTTGTTATGCGCTTGCAAGCTTTCCTTGTCCTCATGTCGTTGAGCGAAAAGTTGCACTCACAATCCCTCTAGGTTGCCCAGCTGTGAATGAATCACGTCTTTGTTGATGAACCTCAAGTCGCCGGAGACGCAGTGGAAGAAGCAGTCACTCTCCCAAGCTGGGATGTTTGCGGTAAGGATGGAGGGGATGGAGGGGAGGAATACTTGGTCAATAAGATAGATCCCTGAGGATCTATCATCCGCAGAACTTGTCATTGAAGAAACCACTCGGACATCTCTTGCTGGCATCTCCTCTAGTCTAGATGAATCCCCCCCGGGTCGTTGTCTCACATATGGTAATATGGTCCTTGAGTCCCAAAGGCTGTTGTTGAATGCTTTTTGTGGCACTATATAAGGGTCACTGAGGAAGCCTTAAAGGGTACTGTAAATTGGAAGGGGTGAGGACCAAAAGAGTTGGCATCTGAGAAGCGATCTTTCAGGACCAACGACATGGCTGTGGACACACCACGACATGGTACCAAAATCCAAGGCTTCAACCTCTGGTGCCGCACTCTGCGGAGATTGAAAGATACCTGACATGAAAGAAGTCCGTTCTCCAACACCACCGTGAGCGGCGCCACTCGCGAACGGCTGAGGTCTTGCACTGGCCCAAGTGCGTGGTTTGATACCATCCGACGGTGTTGGAGTCCACGTTCACCTGGCCCAAATGCCGCTTTTCCAAGCGGAGAAACTAGGATCCAAGAACCATTTCAAAAAATATCTTAGAGGGTATTGGAATTGAGGGCAGGAGTAGTCTCTTGAGGGCCAGTTAGCTGTTTCGCTAGCTTAAGAAACTGTCGTCTCTTCAAAGCCCTGCTTGACCGCCTCTCGTAGCTTCCTCAGCGTGTCCTGACGGGTACTACCCCGTGTTGGACGATCCCCCGGTAACCCGCCCAGTGGAGTGCTTCGTGGGTGATCGCCAGTGCTGTCTCCCTTTCAGGGCTCCAGGGTTGCCCTCCAAGCAGACAGTTTTCTCCCCTCTTACGTAGGTCAACGATCAGCTGTGGGTCTTGTCGCTCCAAAACAAGGCAACCTGAGCTGCCTTGGTCTCAGGCCCTAGGAGCAAGGACGCTACGAACGGGGCTCCTGGCCGTACTACTAGGAACAAGAAGCTACTAGGGGTCCTGGCATCGCTACGAGGTCTTAGATATCAAATAAAAAGCGGGCTTTGATTGCAGGGTAGACCCATCGTTTGACCCACCAAGATACACTCTGACGAACACAACCATGGAAGTGGAAACATAATAGGTCCCTTGGGAAGAAAATTCTCTTCTGAAAGGTTCTAGAATCTAGAAGAATCGCACAATTCATGACACTTTCCACACAGTGATGAAGAATTCTCCCGTCGACCGAAGTGTTCGGTCCATCTGAAACTGCACGCCCTCGTCCATCTGTGCCGTTGTCTCTGTCTCCGCACCTGCAGCGAGCGAGACAAAGCGTCCGAGGGCAGGAGTCGTCGAACCATCGATAGAACTACATCACGACAAACAACGTCATAATATAAGTATCCATAAATAACTCAAAACAACCGTCTATTCGACTGAACAAAAACAGGGGAAGTCCTTTCAAGTGCCGAGCTCAGGTTTCAACCCACCCCTACAAGGTAGGCACCGTCCCAAAAAGAGTGTATATACATACTACCGGCACACCGATAAGTGCCTTTCTGCACGTAGCCGAAGGAGTGGGTGAGCTGCAGGACACTGCCAACATCCATTCCCAGCAGCTGTCCTTGCAATGCACATGAGCACTTCTGCGCACCAATAAGACAGGCAAAAACAACTCAATGATACTGATAGCTGTTTGGCAAAGTCAACCCGAAGCTTCTGCTGCAGATGGAAGCTTGATGAAGCTTGCAGTTGCTGGCAGACTCTCCGAAGGAGCAAAGGAGGGTGTATAAAGATTGACCACATTCATAGTCCCAGATTCTGTACTTGTTGCCCCATCCATGAAAGCCCGTGAACAAGTATGCACTATGCTTTCTGATTGTCTTCCCTTCTCTCCAGCTGTCCAAGAATGCCCTGGATGCTACAAAACAAGGTCATACCACACCAAATCCTACAGTAGTGTCTAACGAGGAACAATCAGTAGCTGAGCTACAAAAGGCAAGAGCCTGCTTGCTCAGGTCTTGACTCTCTCATTTCTATTTGTTATGCAAATAAGAACGAGAAATAAGATGTTGCAAAGTGTTAATATATATAAAGACGAAAAAGACACAAAAAAACCCTCTCCTGTGACTGGCTGGGGGGCGTGTTGCCTAGCACATGCGCGGCTGAATAAGATCTCGCTTGGATCATCGACCGGTTCCGGTGCGGCTCGGCTCTAGCTGACTAAGGAGAACTGACGAGGTTCCTGAGATGATGGATGACATCAGGACACTCTAGTAGTGCACGCGGCGAAGTGAACTGGCGATAGGTTCTTGGGAGTTCACTGTTCGGTTTGGACCTATAGACAGTTCATCGCAGTTCCATGGGGAGTCGAACTCTCCCCAGGGCCCCAATGTCTTCACCTCGACCCTATGACGTGGGTGTGATCGCCGTCACTTTCTCTCCGCAAAATCAACCGTGCTAAATGAACTGGCTTTGGACTTTGCATGACTTTGTCACTATAACAAATCTTGGACTGCTTCCGCCGTTCGTATTTTCCTGACCCGTACCGGGACTCCGCGGCACAGGTACCAAAGGCAAACCGGGAACTTAGTGTGGAAAACAAACGTTGGCCTAACCGAGTGGAATTGGAGGAGCCCTCCACCGGCATTGCTAGCAGCATCCACTGTGGCCGTAGAAGCTGTACCATCACTACATAACATTTGTTGCAACGGAGCTCCGCCCAGCCAACAGCCTAGGAATCGGTTGACAGTTTTTCGAACAAACACTTGAGGATTTCTCCTCGCCAAAACGGAACACTCCTCGCGTTAAGCAGCAATTCCTCCACCAAGTGCCAAGTGATGCTCCTAGGATGGCCGCAAACATGATGGGACAAGAATCCCGCCTGCAATGCTTCATGATCTGCAGGAAGACGAGAGCGTCCATCTCGACCTCCAAGTGTTCGGAAATCCAAACTGAGAGTATGGAGTTACCTCCCAAACCTGCTCACGCTGCTAAGGTATCTGAGACTGTTGGGTCAAAAAGGGTTTGGTCCAAAGACCTTTACAGTAAGTGGGTGTGAAACGGGTGAAGAATCCGCAGGTCCTCGCGAGGCCCCTAAGCAAGCAGGCTAGTCCAGCAAGCTAAACAAGCTGCTTTTGCACCATGGAGACTTGAAAGGCAAAGAGTAGCATTCCCTAACCCACGGGTCCAAGACCTGCTCTCATCCATCTCTATATATATATATAATAATCGATCTCTATATATGCATTACTCAGCCGAATAGGATAAGGACTCCGAACGCTATCAGGCTTTGCTGTCAGCCGGGACTCCGAACGCTCACGAGGTCGCCCTCGCTCTGCTCGGCATCTGGCACCGGGTTGTAGAGAAAATCAGGGGGTCCAGAGCAACATAGGACCCTAAAGGGTGGTTGATAGGACCCTTACCCGCTTACCCTTCGGTTTACCATGCAATAATCATCGTCTTTGGGTGGTCCAGAAATGGTGTTCCTTTTCTGTGTTCTTGTTTTCAATCTTACATCCAGAAATGATCAATGGCTGGAAACTGTTTCCAAGTGTTTGATCCTACTTGGAGAATCCCCATGAAAAGCTGTTTGAATAAGGGAAAGTGGGCCAGCTTGCGGATAGCCAGAGAAGTGGATGGCATGCCCGGCCCCCTCGGAAGAAACGTGTCCTTTCCCAGTGGCCTAATGGAGTCTTTTCAACCTTCCAGTGGCCCAATGGAGTTGATGTTAGGGCGGTTTAAAAAGGGGTTTCACAAGAGGTCAATGTGGGTATATGATATGGAGTGTTTGGATGATTGATGATTATTGAGGGGGCTGTCAACACTCAAAAACACCCACAACTCCCCAGGTTTACTGGAGATGAACACTACTACTGCTTGGTCTGCTTGGTGGCTCCTTCACTTTTGCCATATCCACTGTGTGGGTATGGCCCTTTTTTGAGTGACCTACATGGCGTCCAGTTCGATTCACCGAGTTGGGAACAGCTATGGTGCCTTGCAAAGAACATTACTACTAGCACATCCAAACCATCCCAACATGTCCCACCCAACATGACTTTCCACGCCAAAAAAGAGTCATTAAATTTAGACGTTCAATTGTGTCTTTTCTCCACAACAAGTTCTAGCCTGCCTTTGGTGGGGACCATGGGGGACTCAAGGAAGATTGTCTTCGGGATTCAAGCCCTCCACTTTCGACACCCGTTGTTTGAAGCTGAGTGACACATATCTTTCATACCTTTCACTTGGAGGATCAAAACCATCATGTGTTTGTTGGGCAAAGGTCCTGTCTGGTCCGCTGGGATCCCAAACTGTAGCCACTCTCCAAGGAATGTCGGTACTGGTGGATCTTCTCCTCACCTGGTGGGCGCTGGGATCCGAGACAGGATGGGAGGACGGCAAGCAGCAAAAACACTGAAGGAAGACGAAGGATCCTTCTCCAGTATGAGGTGTCATTTTAAGCGTATATATATATATATATTTATATATTGATAGGTGTCACAAGAATTTTCTCCGTTCTAAACAGAAGGATGAAAGGGGTGCACAATCCTCGCGAAGTTCAAACAAAGCAACGGCAAACAACCAGTAGAGAGAACATGGAACAAGAAAAAGACTCTGGATAAACTACCTTAACAGGAAAAATATATATAATGTGTGAGTGTTCCGCAGACAGTGCTCCGCTACTTCCACATTACAGTACCGTACTTGAGGAAGATTGTTGTTTTCCCCTATGGTGTCTCTGCTTAATTCAGGTTGTCAGGGGAAGGGATTGCTACCGACGATGTGTCTCGTCTCTTTGCATCCATAGCCTACCCCTGTGTTGGCGTTTTGCAAGGCTTTTTGCCTCCAAAGTGCCTGGTGTTGGCGACCAAGCCAGTCTGTTTTGCGGTGCAGTGTAATCTTGCATGTGTGCAAGGCGCTATTGCAATTGCATGGTTGGTCTCGAGCGTCTAGTTCACAAGGAAACGTATTTTCGGGGCTGGGCCAATCCAAAAGGCTGCAGTTGGACATGAAGAGCGAGAGCAGCTCTCAGACCAAACCCGAACCCCAAACTGGAAGTTGTTCACCGCGCCTGCATCATCCCGGCGCTTGCCCCAGCCTTTGCCTTTGCTTTCCGACATGGCCAAAAATGGGGGGCACGAGGCACTTGAGCCGGCTGAGTGCATCAACATCTTTCGATTGCACAATCTTGATACTCGCCCTCGTGTGTTTATTCCATGTCATACGGCCTCGATTGATGCTTTTGGACATCCAGGCCGTCCAGACATGTCGGTCCTGGAGTAAGACCTAGACCTTCCTCCAATCGGTCCATGCGGAGCGTCCCGACCAACCCATACGACCATTGCATTCAGCGAATTGCCTGCGGCAAAGAATGTATCACTGATGACTGATGTTCGGCGGCAAAATCGACGGTCCATCTATCATTGAGGATCAACAAGGCGAACGATAGCATACATAAACCATATATGCCGGCCTTGAATCCAGCGACCACCTAGGTCTAGTCACGGTCGCTCACAGTTACACCTTCCTATCGCTCGGTCCATGCTCCTCACTGAACTCCACCTCAGGATGGCCAATTGCCTGCCGCGGTGAATGCCAACCAGCAACATAGATTCCAAGTGCCTACTGTAATTTGAGGCGACCTTACGATGTTACGAGAACTTGTTCTTGGTCAAAGCCTAAACCAAAGTGGTGCATTCAATTCAAGAGACACCCAGCTTGGGTTTATCGAACTGTTGGGAAACAGAAAGCTCAGTCAGAGCTCGGGCAAATTTCCCGGCTGGGTCTGTCTAGCTTCACGTCGTTCGCTTTGCAGTTGTTTTTTGCGGTTTCACATCGAAGTCCAAGAGGTTGTAAAAAATCCTTTGAACATGAGTACAGTAAACCATCCTCAACCTCTGGAACATGTGCTATCCTCACAAGGTGCGGCACAACAGGCTTGACAGGCTTCACTGCCTAACACCAGCTCAACTGGCTCAAAACTAAAACTTGATATAAATAATAGGTCACAAGAATGACTCATGGCCAAGATCTTGGAACCATTCACACTGGCAATCCATAGTGGCGAAATGGTCGTCCCAACGCCTCAGGGAGTTGCTCCAAATAGTGCACGAAGTCCTTACAGAAAGAAGCCGAGGAATTGCGTTTTGGTTCCGAAATCACGTGCAGAAGCGGTCAGTTCAGGTTTTGTGTTTTTGTATTCATGCTCGTTCTCATGTTCAGTTCTCTTCTGATCGGGCGAAGGTAGAGAGAGAGAGAGAGATGTTTCACCCTCAGTTGGAGACATACCCAAACAGCACCTAAAGTTTGGACGCGTACCCATGGATCTTCCAACTTGGCATGGTGACTGTCATGGGCATTTATCTTCGACTTCCCGGCAGAGATGCTGCTCGGTTAGGCGGATAGGCGGCCAAATGGTAGGCACAAAGGTGAAAGACCCACCAATGTAGCATATCCAACTGAACCAACTGAACAAAATGCTCCTTGCAGGTACAGAACATGAGGACTGCGTACATTTGACATGGTTCAGCCGCTATGCCGTGGCCACCGCGAGAACACAGAATATTAAATATTGCTAAATATTACTAATCCCATTGACCCCAGGAACGACACAAATTCTGGCCATCTATGACCTATTCACCGGGTACATATAGCCCATTGACAGTCTCCACGTGGGGGACTCTGATCCAACCACTTCTGTCGGGGTCGCCGCTGAGGCCGCGTCTGCCTCGCTGATGGGCTTTCCACCACCCGCCTCGTTGAAGAGACCGGTCACATCAAGGCCTGAGCCGTGGAGTCACGGCGCAGGCTACACGGCGCTGATGGGAACGGACGGTTTCTGGAAGAGGGGACCAAATCTCTTCAGCAATCTGGCTTTCAGAGTCCAAGTACAGCGTATCTTGATAGGTGGTGATTTGTTGTAACGAGCTGGGGGACCAGACACCTCAGTTTGCTTGACATTCCCGCCACTGGATGTGCCCAGGAACCATGGTGCGATTTAGGGTCGACCTTCCAAGAAGGGTACATCTGAGGATTCGCTCGCGGCCGGGGTCTTCGCTCTAAAATCCTCTCTGTCCAAAAAATGTCCCCCTGGCCGGCCCTGGCCCTGCTGAAGAGCTCTCTCTCTCCTCTCTGAGTCTCTGGGCAACCCAAACTCTTTTCTTTCCCATGAGCCCTCAAGGCAGAAGCCAAAGTCCTCAAGCTTCCAGCCACCTGGAGAAGCACTCATCAGGTGACTCAGAAGAAACCGCCAGCTTCGCAGCTGCCGCCGCCGCCGGCGCTTGTGGGGCTTTGGTACAGTGTCATGAGGACGTGTGGCGCTTGCGTTGTCAAAAGCAAACATCCAAGAGGCACAAGGACGTTCGACAACAATTGGAGGGTCCTTGCTAGAATCGTACTATATAATATCACAGGGGTCATTTCAAAGGCTTTACAATAGAGTCCAGAAACCTCACTAGTCTGCGCCGTTCTGAAGCCAGACGGGCCTCAAAGGAAGACTTCACCCTGGTTTCATCGGCAAACAAAAGGAAGAACAAAACCAATAGCTCTGGGCCTCATGTTCGTTGTCAATGCCTTTTTCAATCCTCTCCGTCCATTGTCATTTGGGTCTTTGGGGGCGATCCACGGCTTTTTTAAGGCTAAAATCCAAACCACCAGTTACAAGGCAATGTAGTTTGGGCACGTGGCCCTTGATGGTACACTTACAAGAGTGATGTTACAAGGTTCCCCTTGATGTAAAGTTCAATGTAGCTCGGACCGATTCGACCAACTCTCGATGTGACAAGTACACCAAAAACCACCAGACCAGACAGCATGAGCATGAATCATAGTCATAGTATCTAGAACAGGACATCCACATCCACATCAACAGGCTTGCACCACCCTTGCGCCGCCCCAAGATCTCGTTCGTCGTTTTGCACCGTCCAAAGACCGGGTGCCGCACCAGGAATTCTTCGCCGCCCTTCTCCAGCAAAGGGATGCAAGCTTCCTCTGCTGCCTTCACCTGACGGCTGAGAGCGGCCGTCACATGCGACGGTCAGCACAGCAAACATCCCAAAGATACGCAGAACCGTGTCACGACTGGACATGCCGAATTCCTATGAAATTCTACATTTTATCTTGCCCACAAAATCGTGGTGGCAGGTTCGGATTTGACCCAGCCCGGTCACAACACCCAAAAGCAATGGATCGGTGAACATACCCCGGTTCTCCATTCAGTTCTTGGGCAAATCAGACCGACGTGACGTCGGGTTTGTTCCGTTCCTGCCGCACCCAGCCACCACCGTTTCTTTCGCCACCTCCGGTTCTAAGGATGCAATCATCTCCTCCACCTGTCGGGCAGTTCTGTGATGGCGTACAGGAAAGTAATCTTCCGGTCATCAGATGCCATCAGGCGAGTTGAGATTTCAACCCGAACAAATGCTTATCGGGGCCACAGTCCTATAATAGAATTGTTAGGGTCCTATCAAAGAAATGCTTGAACAAAAAAACAGGAGTGATGTGGTACATCTGAAGACACGACGATTGGCACAAACGCAACGGGAATGAGCTCGACCCCCAATGTAGGATCACTATCCCCACTTGCATTTTGCAGGATCATGCAGAATTTCACCAATTGATATCAAGGTGGCACCTTCCTTTTATAGTCTCCTTGAGAGCTGTCCGTTTGAGAGCACCTTCAGCCTCATTGACTCATTGCACCAAATCTGCCAGGTCGACCAGCTTTTGACATCCAATGACTCAAGCAGTTAAAGAACGGGGTTTGGGTTATATTTTCGCGAAGAGGCTTTGTTGACCTCGGAAGCTTACGGATTGGTCCTTCTAAACATTGAATCAGTTTGGCAAAGCCAAATGCTATGCCACCCTGATAATCGAGGCCTGGGCCAAGGGCCAGGCAATGTTGTCTGTGGGCTTCCAGAAATTACTCTCTAAGGATGAGGGAAAGAAGGCAATAAGATAAATTGAAACTCTCCAGGTGGTTGTTCATTTGGGGGTGTTAGAAGGTTGCTTTTTTACATCTTTTGGGGGGGTCCAATCAGGAAAGGTCACCAAGACTATATAGATGTTTTCATGAAGAGAGATCCCAAAGACTAAATCTCTTCATGAGAAGGCAGAAAGGATCCCAAAGACTTAAGCTGACAAGGATGAGTTAGAGAAAGCACATGCATCAGGCTGTTTCGATTGGGATGAGCTGGATAATGAAGGTGAGAGGATTGGAAAGAATATGAATAGATACATGAAGAAAAGGACCTATGAGGTGGAAGATCCAATGAGGAAGGATCAGGAAAAGCTAGGAAGCTGGAGGAGAAAGATTGCGATTATCTTTTCGGGAAAGGACACTAGAGACATGTGGGCGGAAGTTTATTGGGTGGTGGATTTTTTGTTTCCCACCCCGGGGGGGTGCAAATTGATTTGGAGCGAGAATAAAGTTGCGTAGGATTTCTGGGAGTGGTTTTGGGATTCTGAGGGATTTGGGAGGAACTGTGGCTAGGTCAAGAGCAATGAAGTTCTTATGAGGAGATGGGTCCAGGAAGCATTGAGATGCATTAGAGGTGTTGGAGAAGGAGCCTTAAGATATGGAAGAAGAGTCTTTGGCCACGACGCAGGATGCCAAAATGCAAGATGAGCATCAGACTACACCTGGGCAGTTGGTGACAATGCTCTTCGGCAATGAAGGCAGTGGAACAACATCATGCGAGAGATAAGCGGGCCAAGCACATCATGGAGAAGATTGGAGCAAAACGTTTTGTGCCAATCTTGTGACGATTCCCGGAGTGACGAATACCTTGTGGCCAAAGGCAGAGCCACATGAGTCAGCATCAAAAGCGGGTGTTGGATTTCGGGAAGGGCTTTCAGTTGACAATAGGATGAATCATGGGATGAGTGATTGGTGAAATTAAAGGGGTTAAAAATGGAAGAATGGTGGTTAGTATTGCAAAAGAAATTGGCGGCCCCAATAAAGGTGGACCAAACAAAAAAATGCGACTTTATGGATCCTACATTTATATACATTATGGAAGGTTTGCACTGATTGAATTAAGATGGACTGAAACACCTCACACCTACCTGTCATTTGACATCTATGTTCACCCCAAACCCCCCATTCCAGTGTCATCAGGCTCGGCAAAACACGACATGTAGCGCCGGTTTTTGCCTGCGGTGGGCGTCTTGACCGCGCGTCTGACCCGGCCCCGAACACCGCCTCATGAAGAAGCTTCTTGGCCACGAACTTGTGTTCTCGATTGCTCACCGTCTGCGAGGCGAGCACGCGGGCGGCAACGCGTCGGTCGGTGTGGATCCGATGTCGGCGGGAGTTGCTGTTGGTTGAGAAAGCTGTTGGAGCAGCCAGCAATGTCTCAAAATGGCACTCCTTGAAACATTATAACGTTGAGCTTTCCGTGTCTATGCTGCTTGTTCCAAGTAATGGCATGTAATGGCTCCGGCGGATCCGGTGGCACTCATAGATCGAACAGTCGGTGGTCTCCCTCAAACGCCACGTTCGTAGCGTCCGATCGCTCCGTTCGTAGCGATGCCAGGATAGCCTCTTGTTACTACAAGTAGTAGTAATG